CCTCACTCCGCGCAAACGGGATGATCGCACCACGTTCAAGCACCCTCGAGGCAGCTACACAGGGCTAAAAAAATGTTTCTGGAAATGAAAGCACCAGAAAATAAGTTGAGTCATACGCCGCTGTCATTCGTACGCAAGGATGTAAATCACAAGATGCCGAACACCGTTAGCAGGAAGCAGCGCGCCCTTCATGCGACTCGCCGAATATATCACGGTGCTTCGATGGGTGAAGTGAGAACCTGGTTCGGTAAGAACCCGGCGTGCTCCGTCCCGACTTTGTAGGGATGCGAGGTCAATCGTCTAACGGCTACGGCATGCACGACTACGAGTACACCCCCCCCAGCAATCAGCTGCTGTCTTTTCGAACGCGGCACAGACCGAGTGAATTTATTGACATGTTCTCGCTGTAGTTTCACCACTCACTCTTTACATTCTCGTCGTCATTGAATTCAATCGGGCTGCACCTGATGAAACTATCATCTAGTAAACAAGGGATCCCTCTGGAATGAGCTCATGAGGGCACAGTGTAGTGTCTCCAAGGTAGTGATGCAAGATTAAACAAAAGCAATAATAGCCCATCGCTATCGGCCAGCTGCCAGGTGTGACTTGTGCTTCACTCGAACAACCAAGGGAACTTACTTCAACCAACCAAAAAAATAAGTTACAAATCTGTGCCCTACATGTGCATGCAGTCTGCACGTACGGGTGTGCTGTCACGCTTCATGTTTCTCGATCCCATCAACCATTTACTGCCGACTGCTGTGTCCTTCGCCCACGTGTTTGTTCCTCGCCCCCCCCAGCAATCATTTTCTGTTTTTTCGAAACGCGCTCCGTATTTCCCTCGTTTACCCCGTTCGATATTTTTATAGAATGCCCCCCCCCCAAAAGCACATGCAAGAAACAACAGCACGAACGACGTCGTCTGTCTGTCGTTAGGAAAACCACATGTACTTCTGATAGATATGGTCTTGCCTTGGACAGCTCGTTTCATGTCCTACACGGCCATCACCGAAAACGTTCCAGTTTTCTTCTACCGAACGAAGCTTGCACAAACTTCCTTACATTCCATATCGATCGGTAGTCTAAATAGAACCTCGATTTCGATTGCAGCAGGGCCGGCCCGCTCATAAGAATCATCTAACTATGTTGAGCGAGGCCCGAACCTTATTTTGTCCCTACCACTGAGCAAAGGCTTTTATATGGGAATTAATGTACATGTAGCGCCGGCCACTATTATACTCGATTTCTCGGGGTGTTCCTAAAACTTACATTTACCTTTTTGGAAATTTGGAGCGAAATAGCGCTGTGTTTGAAACGGCCGCAAGTTTGTCGAAAATCTGAGCCTCGGTTTCTTGCGAACATATTCCTCCGAGCGGGCCGGCACTACAGACCATATACAACCTGGTTTACCGCCCTCCTCCTACAGTATGGTGAGGTTCTTTGGTATTTTGACTACGCTCTATCTACTGCACAACAACCCCCCACTACCTACCGCTCCCTTTTTGTCCGGCAACTGCAATTAATCAGGTTTGGAGGGACCAGTCCCGACTTGACGTTGTTGCAGGAGCTTCTTCCTTTCCTGCCCCGAACGTTCTCACGGTCCGCGCTACGAACATCTACGGAGAATTCGAGAAGGTACATGCGGCGGCGTCGGGCCCTCTGTCTGATGATGTAGACTTGGTCACGGTGAGGGTCCTCGCCTTACCACCTGGCCGGGAATTAGCGTGTATATATCCTGCCTATAGTCCATGCACAACAGGAGCAGTCCCACAGCACCAAGAGGTGATTGTTCAGAAATCTGAAAGTACCGTTATTAGCGCCATGTCTCCAGGCGCAACTGTCTAAGTATGAGGTGTTCGATGTTTTTTGTGACTATATTGTATTTTTCCGTGAAATGCTGGAAATTCTTGCATCGGTTGAGGCGGATTCACTTTACCGCATGCAAACATCTCAACGGATTAGGACAGCTGTCCGAATTTTCCTTGTGGGTCGTTTGACCAATAAGTAAATCTGGGAAGTCCATTTTCTCTAATCGTTTGTGACATCCAACTGTCGGATGTGAAAAAACATTGCGGCAAACGAATCCTCCCCTCAATCTCACTGGGTCTTTTTCTCTCCGAGAAAAAATAGCGGTCCATGGTGTAATGCACACCCATCCTTGTTTCACGTTGGAATTCCGTTTTCTTTGAAACGTGGTCGACGAAAAGGTGACAAGGCAAATTGATGTGCAAGGACCACAAATATCTCCTTCTTTCCAAAACGGCTGTGGTGGTCCTGAGCTGTTCATTCTCCGCCCCCCGAATGTGCACGCATGGTCAGGCCCAGGAATACCCCCCCCCCGAAGCAAGCATTCGTTTGTGCACAACACGCCCCCGCTCGTTTGCGTACAAATGAACGCGCGAAGCACGCCGCCATCGCGAAGCTAGTTTGTTCCCGGATACCCATGTCTTCAATATTTTCTCCCGTCGGCGAACTCACAACTAACTGTGGCTAATGTACCTCACTTCACCCCCCTTTGCTCGTCGGCGGTGGATGGATGCGGATGAACCCCAGGGGACGCTCGAAACATACGGCCTGGACATGGTGATTGAGCCTTTTCGGGAGACCACTCTAGCCGTCGAAGGGACCAATGTTTCGCTCTCTGGAAGGTGATAATGACGTGTGATGAATTGTATTGGCCTCATGCAGGCAGGCGCCGAAATCAAGCAATGGCTTGACTTCGGCTTCTTCTATAGGCGCCGTTCAAGTTACGGAGTACGCAGCTCTCCCGTGGACGAAGTTGTTGACCTAGAACCCTGCGCGACGTCGCCAGATAAGTTGGGAGGTATACAAGCAAGCTCCGGGCATCGCATCGGGCTCGTGCATGACCAGCCGTACTGGAAGCTGTCCCTTTCAGATGAAGCCTCATGTGAATGTAGGTCTGTTTGTTCAACATTCATTTCCCGCTCCCCGAGATGCAGGGACCCGCAGGCCAGACGACCGTCGAACCTCTTTTTTTAGTTTTTGCAGTTCAACCTGAAGCACTGTCCATGACGAGTGGACGTTCCGTTATCGGGGGGGGGCGGGGGGGGGGGGACTCATGTTGAGCATGCCTTAAACCCATGGCCACGGGGCGGGGGGGGGGAGGGGTTGCGTGCCGCCGTTCTTTCACCTTCGGCGCTGGGAAAAGCCTAACGCTACCCCAGGAGCGTTTATGTATTCTGGGCCGCCTGTTGGCGAGAAGAGCCCAGCTGACGCCTCCCTCCCAGCGAGCTTCTCGCGCCGATCGATCCATGTTGCGTCCTCAAGAACGTTTGGAAATCGCACCCCGGTTATCGGTCAACGCGCAGGTATTCGTGGCGGCTGCAGCACGCGAGTGAACAAGGAATCACCGTTGAAGACGACGGTGACCTTTGGGCTCATTCCGGCGGCCCTCAGGTGGATACTTCGAGCGCGAAAACGAAAACAAGAAAAATGACGTCCTTGTCTGCATTGTAGACCGAACAAGCCTGACGGTTGGGTGCACGCGCAGAGAGAGAGGGGGGGGGGGGGGCTTGGTTTGGCATGGTCAAATTAGGAGGTCTGTAATACAACAGACGGGCGCGCCGACCGGGTTCGGGAGATTGTCTTCCACGCTACTGCTGCGCTGCACATTTGTTTGCCGAAGACCCCGGTCGATGAATGCAAAAACATGTAACACGTGACACGTTCTTGTTGCGAGAAAGGGCGCGAACGATCAGCTCCGGAGCCTAAGAAAGCGCTGACACGAGCCCTGGGCATGTGCTGCTCGAGTTGATGCGCTCGTTCTCCTCCCGAAAATCAACGGTGGCTCACGTTTTTGAGGTCCGCTGCGCAGAAAACACCTCGTTTCGGTGAAAACTCAGCAGCAGCAGCAGCAGCAGCATCCATCAGGCCGCCACCGTGTTGAGATGACCATTTCCTCCGTCCTCCCCACTGACACTGGCCGCCACCACCTCTCTGAGTACACGATGCACTTTTTATAGTATTTTATTGTGTCCTGCCATTCGTTCTCGGCATCGGTCCCTACACCGTTCGGCAAAAAAGTTCAGGATGCATGCGTTCTTATTCATTTATGTGAAACGGCTAAACCCAGGCCACGGGATTCGTTTTACTCTTTTTTTGAGGGACGGCTACGCCCAGCCCACGGAATCTCTTTCTTTCTTTTGGTGGAACGGCTAAACCCAGCCCTCGGGATTCGTTACTTTCGTTCTGTGGAACGGCTAACTCCAGGCCACGGTGACTTTGGACAGCCCGGGAACGGTGTACGTCCTGACCGTTCGCGAGGTGTCCGAGGACGGCCAAGTCGTCGCGGAAGGAAGAGTCAAGGCGTCCTGCAAGTATGTAAGGTAAGGAATTCTTCCCTGCGGCGCGGCTACCGGGGTCGGTCTCAGGCCGAGAACGCGATTTTCGAGCCGATCGTTGGTTGGCTTTTTTTTTTTTATCCGTCACCTGAGGTTTGGGGGGGGGGTACGCAGAGGAGGAGAAGGAGGGGGAGGGGGTAGTGGCGGTGGTAGTTGACCCCACCACACAGTCACTACGCGACGACATCCTTCCACTACATCGAGGAACGGTTTTTTCTGCGTGTTGTTTCATTTTTGGTTGTCATTTTTCAGCCCTTCATCCGTGTCTGAACGGGTCGTGTTCTACGAAAGTATTTCAGAAGATGCAGGGGCAAGTGCTGCCAGCTACTCGAAACCGCCGGTTCGAGAGCGGATTTCCTGACGTCTTCGATGGAAACGTGATACGAACGCACGTTCCTCCACGTCTTGGATGCCAAAGTGTGACACGAACGCCGATTTCTTGACACACACACTGACAAGAACGGGGATTCCTCAACGTCTTGGACGCAAACGTGGTTGGGTGTGTTGTGCGTTGCTTCACGCGAGGGTGTTGAAGACATGTCAACACCCACGTCCCTCCCTCCCCCCTCCAACACTTGGTTCGAAACACCGCCCTTCTACATGAGGTCTGCCTCGGAAATTGCATTTTCCCGCTACTTTTGCCAGAATCTTTTCAAGATTTTCCTCCACCCCCCCCCTCCACTGAGCACCCACACACGCACACAGGACCCAGAACGTGGTATTGGTCTTTCGGTTGCCCCCCCAGGCTACAATAGTTTGAGTGAATATACTCACCGGCATTGCCCTGCCGGGTTGTTTTTGCTTTCTCGGCATGATGCGTGGGTTTAAGGCGACGCACACGGAATCTTGATAACAATAACGTCGGGCTCCGCCGGGCGTGAAGGGCAATGCAGTTTGTCTGTTGTGCCTCAAACTGCGAGACCTTGAAAAAACAAAAAATTTCACGATCGTCGTGGCGGGATCCTTCTTTTCAGGTTCAATTCTAGCCTCCTCGACTTGAGCTCGCTCTCTCTCTCTGCCCCCCCCCCCCCCCCCCC